ACAACATATTGACTGCTGAAAGAAGAAACACCATAAGATAATTCAACTGAAGGGGGAAAATGCATCTACTAAAACTCACTATCCTTCATTTTAAAAATTTCTTTACAAAATAGGAGCAGAAATGAGGGTTTTCATTCTGATAAATGATCCTTGCAAAAATCCCACACCAATCAATATAATTAATGATGAAATGTTCGATGTTTTTTATTGAAGAGCCAAACAATACAAGGTCACCCAAACAGCCATAATCATCATTTCTCCTCAATAATATAATAGAGATTTTAGCCACTACAGTTAAGCAGGCAGTAGAAGTAAAAGGTATAAGAGAGGGAAAGAGGAAATAAAATTGTGAACATTCAAGACATAATATACAACAAGAATAGCCAGGAACCTGCAGATCAATTATTACAATTAGTAATTGTCAAATTTTCTAGGCACAAAATCAATTCAAACATTAACCATATCTCTATCTATATGATAATAGTTAGAAAATGAAATTTGAAAAAAACATTAAAATCATGGAAAAGGTGAAATAACTACGTATGAATCATAAAGATATTGCACATTCCTGTTTGGAAGAGACAATATTTTTGAGGTATTCATTCTCCAAAACGTGATCTACAGATTCGTTGCACTCAGGAAGTATTTCACAGAACTTTATTGGTTCTAATTAGACGTGGAAAACCAGTAGCCAACATTGGAGAAGACAGGCTGAAAGAATGAGAATAAGATGGGAGCTCTTGCTTTAGCAAATGAAGTCATAGTAGTGAAGATAGTGTGGTACTGATGGCGCCATAGAGACAGCGATGACAAGATAGAGACCCCGCACACATTGAGACACTGCACACAAATATAGAGCACTTGGTTTGTGATGGAGTTCTATGCAGAGAGTGGTGGGAAACTATTTTCTTCCTCCTAAGTAAGTGGCGCTTAGGAAAACACATGTCTCCATGGTGTCTGTGAGGACACGTCTTTCTCCATGGAGAAAAGCACTTGGCCCTGCGGCACCCTCTCCTGCTCCTTGAAGCTGTGGCCCCAGGTGGCGCTGACTGAGCTGCAGAGAGCGGGGCAGGGGCGTGCGGAGCGTGGGGGCACAGGAGACGCGGCCCAGGAGCCGGGACGGGCGGCGACCTCAGGGCAGGGCTGCAGCTGAGGGGACACGGGGTGACAGACAGCCCTGGGGGCGTGACGCTGTGCCTTGTGCTTTTCAATGACATGAGTGCAGGGCTTCTGGGAGCTTTCTCAGGAATAGTGTGAAATTAATGTGAGTTTGCACGAGGAACTTATAGAGGTGAGTTTTCTAAAATCCTCATGTCCTAGGGTATAACGCATGCAGGATCTCAGAAAATGTTCTTTGGCCGCACAAGTTGCCTCCCGTTAGCTTTTGGCTGAGGTTGTTGGGGATAGTGCTATTGGGATTTCAGGTCACGGGGTGGGTGGAGGGCTCTGCCACAGACAGTGGCGGACCAAGGGCCTGAGAGGCGGGGGAAGTGGGGCAGAAAGTGAGCTGCTCGGGGCCTGAGAAAGAGCCAAGACACCTACAGAGCTCTGGGTGCTGTCATCTATCACCTTTAATCAATCTAACACTGCCTCCTATCCTGGAGAGGTGTGAGGGGTGGGAGGCACTGGTGCATAAGCTGGGTCCACTGACAACTCCCGTTTTGTGGTTGGTTTGTCTGAGTTGTCTTTTCCTGGCTGGTGTGAGGAATTTTACTTACTTGTGTTTTGTAGCTTCACATCCTCTACCAAATGCACAACTCATTTTTCTGGTGGTAAGAGAGAAGCTGAGACCCATGAAAGATCTTAGTGACAATCTTCCAGCTTGCCTGCCACCTCCCCTTGCTGAGTGTCTGTGTGGCATCAAACATGTGTTCTTGGTTGGGATGGGACCTGCTTCAGAAATTAGAGCTGCCCAGAGGGGTCAAGACTGCAGGACATTTAGTGAGATGGGCTATACCCTTAGGAATGGGCGGTCACTCACTGGTCCCTGCCCAAGAGGCAGAAAAAAGGCCATCAGGAGCAGGAGTAGCTGCATCTTCCCGAAGGTCTGTCCAGGTCACAGCTGCTGGGGTTTCTTCCTTCCAGACACAAAGCATAGAGGAAGGAAGGAGGGGAGGCTCAGTGCTCCCACAGACCTTGAGAGCTATGCTCCCCCCTGGCCGGGTGTCAGCATGCCACAGATGAGCACCTTCTCTGCCCTGGATTAGGAGTGAATGACACCGTCATCCCACTCGCACACAAAGACTCAGCAGAAGGAATAAGAAAGTGACGCCTGTGGTGCAGCCAGTGTTACCTAGTGCAAGCTTGTACTACTTGCTAAGCAACAGGCCAATAAATCCTGAGATGAGTTGCTGAAACAAGGAATAGCAACTTTATTCAGAAAGCTAGCAAACCAAGAAGATGGTGGACTCATGTTTCAGAGACTCACGTAGCCTGAGTTAGAATTCAGGCTACTTTTATAGTAGAAGGGAATGGAGTAAAGTCAAACATTTCCTGGTTCCAGTAGCCTCAGGACGGTTGTGTTAATTTCTTCTGTCCTGCTTTCTTTCTTCAGTGGGCTTGTTTCCTGTGAGCTAAACAAAGGTATTTTAGCTTAAACCTCATTACTTGGGAGCCAGCATTCCCAGAGATGTGCCATCATGTATAATTAGTGTTATATGCAATATACCATTAGTTACTAACGAACAGAATACCAAAGTTCTTCCCTATCACACCAAGAGGAGCTAGATCCCCAGGAGCCCCTCAGTAATTGAATCTCCATTTCTCCACTCTTGGTACTTTTATGATTCTGATAATATCATGAATAATTACTCAATAGGGGAGGTCCAGGGATATGAGAGATTTGGCTGCTGCCCCTGTGAAGCTGACAGGAGGGAGAGGTAGCCCTAAAATAGGTGGGTGGAGAACCAGTGGTGAGGATTATGATGAGGGGTCTGCTTGTTGCCAAGTGTGAGGAAGCAGCTGAACTTGGTTTGGGAGCAGATAGACCTGAACTCACCAAAGTGAATCAAACAGCAACCCCATTTCCTATCTTGCCCAGGTTCCAGCCTCACATTTTTGTTGTGTTTACAATTGGCTCTTCAAATGTAAATACTCTGTAACAGAAATTTTCCTATCCCACAATGTTGAACAAAAGTCTCGGACTTCATACTCATTGGGCCAAAACCAGGTCCTTCAGCATTCAGTGACCTGACTGGCTTGGCTTGTGCTGAAGTATCCAGCATCCCTTGAGCTGAGTTGGGTGCTCTCCCATCCAAATCAGGGTTCCTGTGAGGGGGAGGAGGACCTTCCTGTCCAGAAATGCTGGGTACTGGTGTGCGGTGATGAGATAAGTGATGGTGATCACCCTAATAATTACTCTCCACTAATATTCTCTGTCCAGAGATGAGAGAACCACGTCTCTGGTGTTTCTGGGCCAGGCCATGCTGAACATGTGCAGATGATTCCAGCACTGTCACCAGTATGAGACAGAAGAAAGAGGAATGGAAATGATAGAATGAGGAGTTCTAAACAAGCCAAGTCCCAGTGAGTTGTAGCAAGAACATCTTATGAATAAACAGAGCAGAAGGAAATATGCTTAACCATTGATGATGATAATCTGAGGGTGGTGAAATTGTAAGCAATTTTAAATTTCTTACTTACATGTCCTGTATTTAGCTATCTCTTCCCTTGTAGCTCAGTTGGTAAAGAATCTGCCTGCAGTGCAAGAGACCCGGGTTTGATATCTGGGTTGGGAAGATACCCTGGAGAAGGAAATGGCAACCCATTCCAGTATCCTTGCCTGGAAATCTCATGGACAGAGGAGCCTGGTGGGCTGCAGTCCATGGGATCGCAAAGAGTCGGGCATGACTGAGCAGCTAACACTTACTTACTATATGATTATATGTGTTGCTTTTACACACAAAATACATTTTGTCATGGTCGAAGTTTACTCACCATGCAAACGTCCAGCAAATCAGTTCTCTTTAGCCCAGCCTTCTCTAAGGTGCATGTTTTAAAAATGAAATTACTTTCCTGAATAGATTCTTACATGAAAATTGAAAGATTATTGAAAAATAGAAAAGAAAAAATTATTCAATAAACTATTGGGTATGGGCCACCTTGGAAATATTAGGATACTTTGAATCTAAAAATTTTTGTTACTATGACTTTCCTTTATAGAAACATACATACAGGTGGGAATGATGGAAATGGGAGAGGCTGGCTCAGCCCCTGGTAGAAGAGCTCCCTCAAGGTCACTTGGGGCTGAAGGAGGATGTGCCCTCAGGACTCCAGAGGCTGCACAGAGCCCTGGACCCGGGACTCCAAGACAGCACTGTGACAGGCACTTGAGCTGAGCTTGTGAATACTGAAGCCCTCCTGAAACTTTCTCAGGCTTCTGACCTCTGTCTCCTCTGGCGCAGGGAGGGAACACTCATGGGGTGAACCACACCTTGGTAAATCTCCCCACTTCTGTTAGGGTGGACAAGTGCCCCCTCAACCCCAGAGCTTCTCAGGTGGGCCCCTTTCCAAATCTGGACTCTCTTCTGTTGCCCCCTGGGCACTGGGATGTGGGGGAGGGGAGTCGGTGTGGACGAGGAGGAGGGCATATGGATCAGACACAAGGGTCGTGGACAAGGGGGTCCAGTGTTCCTGAGGAGGGGTCTCCCTTCTCTGATGGAGCTCACGGGCAGCCTGAGGGGGGTGGGCACTGGGGACATGTGACTGGAGGGAGCTGGCTGTCGGTACAGCAGGAGTTTTTATTCCAGAGATGGAAGGTGGGGGTGGGAGAGGCGGTGTATGTACTGGTGGGGGTGGGGGAAGCCTCTCTGACAGATCAGAACTGTGAACAGATGTTTCCCTGACAGAGAAGGTGGCTAATGAATACGTGAATAAAGGAGGAATCAGTGATCTCTGCTCAAGAGATGAATGTTTAATAAGTTCCAGGCAACCTTCCTCCACACACTTTGACCAATGCTTTCAATCCCAGGGAAGATGGAGGGGTCTATCCGAAGGACACCTCAGGCTGATCCCTGACGTTTGTACTGTCTCATTGTTGTCTGGATCCAGGGCAGAAAGCTGGAGATTCTGGTGTAAACATCTGGAGTTGTCCCATCATCTCTTCCATAGGACACAATGCCCTGGGCCACACCATCACACACGAGCGGGCCCCCAGAGTCACCTGTGGGCAGAGAGAGCAAGAGCTGAGCTCACCTTCTTCAGGTCTAGTCTCCCTGCCACCCTGGGATGGGTGGTCTCTGTTAGGGGCCCTGGCTGATATCAGGGTCTTGGGTTTGACAACCCTGAGGTTTCATCTTGGGTTTGACAACCCCGCTGGTCTTTCTGCAGGAATTCACTGCCCATATATGACTGTGGGGCTGTGTTCACCCCCCAGGGACACAGGACAGAGACCAGATAGGAGGACAGGCTGGGGACACAGGGACGGGATTCGTTCCCACAGTCCCCCATCCTCACAGCTCAGCTGGGCCCAGGGTTTTGCATGGACAACACTGGGGATCTCACCGAGAAAAAATTCTTCCTCTTGTCTGGATCTCCAGCACATATCTGCGTGATGGGGATGTAGTTTCTGAAGCAAGCGATACATTTCTCCTCACTTTGGACTTCAAGGTCTACCTCCTGTAGTTTGTCTGCAGAGGGCATATCTACCTCCAGTCGCCCCAGCCGGCCATACTGCACATCATCCCTGGCTTCACCTTTTGCCAGCGCCTGGGCAGAATGATGGGGCTCACTGTGTCCATCATGTCAGCCTTCCAAGCCAGCTGAAGGTAGAGGACAAGGATTCTCACCTATTGATGGCCCGCAGAGGCTGCAGGACAGTCATGGGGTTGCCTCCTCACAGCCCTGGGACCACGGAGGGGTGGTACAGGAGGAGGGTCAGGAATGAGGTCATGGGGGATGCAGGGCCCTGGATGGAAGGGCCCCAGAGTCAGTGCAGCCACGGGTCCCACCTGCAGTAACATGATGTCGTTGGCCCGAGTCTTATCATTATACCGTGGATGCAGGATGGCTCTTCTCACTGGGATGACCTGCTGGGTCCTCTCTTGCTCCATGATGTTGTGGGACCCCAGGGTAACATTGATTGAGCTGCACAGAGAGCAGAGAGGGAGCATATGTCACAGGAGAAATGGTCCAGAGGCCAGTAGGAAAGAGCACAGCTTAAGACAGGGCGGGACTGGAGGGGACAGAATTCTAGGCAATGGGCTCTGGGGCTGAGCATCTTTGAGCTGTCTGCTTGCTGGCAGCTGAAACAGGATGGCAGTTCCTGGAGTCCACGGAGGGTGTTCAGTCTTATACAAGCTTGACTGTCTCTAGGGAAACATGAATTTCTCACACGTGCACCGTGGGCTGCAAAGCACAACTTTAGCTTCCTTCCATTCCAGGTCTGATCAGTTGCTTCTCCTCATGTGCCACTGGCATGCACTTGGCCCTCTCTCCCCAAAGCTCACCTGGCCTTTGAAAAGCTTCCTACATTCCCTGCGAGGGGTCAACAGAGGGTGAGGGGCCCGGGCACTGCTCCTCACCTTCCCAAGCAGTGAGCTGCTGTCAGCACGAAGTCCTCATGCACAAGGAAACCCCCACAGAAGAAAATGTCTTCTGAAACCTGGTATTCAACAAATGCCATGTAGGGATGGGAGTGTGGCTTGGCCTCATGGCCCCCGATGATTTTCCCTGAAAGAAAGATTCCAGACTGCCTGCTATGCTCATGGAGGCGAAGGCTGAAGAGGGGAGATTGGACCAAGGTTGCTGGTCTTTGAGAAAATTCAACCTGAGTTCAGAAATTTCCTTAGATGGACCAGGGCCAGAGTGTGCATGAGTGTAGCATCTAAGCAGGTCTGTCCACGTGGGGTGGGTCAGGGCCTCTGAGGGTGGGACCAGCACTCACCTGCCTCCCCAGCGGGGAACAGAAGGGCCGCCAGGAGCGGGAACAGGACCAGCTCTCCAGGAAGGCTGGTCAGATCTGAGCAGCTGCTGCTTCCTTCTGGTCTTTTAACCCTGAGTGTCTCCTCTGCTGCGGTGGCCGTTCTCACAGGAGGCTTCCCAGAAAGTGTCCCACCACTGTTTGGTCAAGTCTTGGGGTCCCAGTGGAGTAAGAACTTAACAAAACACTCTGATCAGTTCTTATCTGTGGGGTGGTAGGGATACTGCATCAGCACATCTCTGGTCCCTGGGCCCCAGAAACCTGGGCCTCATGGTGATAGATCAAAGAATGTCTTCATTTCTGTGGTTCTCTTTAGATCATCACAGTGATTGTGTCTTGGACCTCTTTGTGTGAGAGACTGTGGGAAACACTGAAGATAAGCTCTATTGCTTCTGGTGGAGGAGCTTGCCATCATGATCAGACAAGAACAGTGAGAGTAAGGGTGTGGGATGGTCAGAATGGGTTTGAAAGTGATGCTTAACAGAGCTTATTCCAGTTACTAAATGACTAGTGGTTTAAAATAACACCAACATTGCTTGACCCATGAATCTGCAATTTGCTCATGGTACAATGTGGGCAGCACCCCTCTGCTCCCATTGGTGTCAGAGAAGCGTGAAGCTCAGAAGCTGAATCACTTGAAGGCTCCGTCACACTGGCCCAGTGGTTGCTGCTGGCTGTCCTCTGGCCATATTGGTTTCTTGCCACGGGGGCCCCTCATGTCGTCTCACTTCATGGGGTTCTTTGGCTCCTTCCAAACACAGTGCCTGGCTCCCCCAGAGTGAGCATCTCCTAAAAAGTGAACCATCTAGAAGCTGTGTTCTTTTCATTACCTAGAGTTTGATGTCATATGACATCCATCCTACTATAACTACTGCTTGGGGCAATCAAGAGCAAGAACTTTCACCAGATTAAAAAGGAAGGGCCCTACACCCCACCTCCCAGCAGGAGGTGAGATATTGCAGTCATGGAAGAAGAGCCTGTGGGATGGAAACACAATGGAGGTCATATCTACACCATGCAGATGCGGAAAGGCTCGGAATTAAAAAAAATTGTTGTTTCTAAACATCTTTATCCCAAGCCTCTTGAAAAGTAACAACATCTTAGTTAAAAAGAGTTGATGGTCAGTAGATATTTGCCATCACTTCATGGCAAATAGATTGGGAAAGTGGAAACAGTGTCAGAGTTTATTTTTCTGGGCTCCAAAATCACTGCAGACAGTGAGTGCAACCATGAAATTAAAAGACCCTTACTCCTTGGAAGGAAAGATATGACCAACCTAGAAAGCATATTAAAAAGCAGAGACATTACTTTGCCAACAAAGGTCGTCTAGTCAAGGCTATGGTTTTTCCAGTGATCATGTGTGGATGTGACAGTTGGACTATAAAGAAAGCTGAACACAGAAGAATTGATATTTTTGAACTGTGGTGTTGGAGAAGACTCTTGAGAGTCCCTTGGACTGCAAGGAGATCCTACTAGTCCATCCTAATGGAGATCTGTCCTCGGTGTTCATTGGAAGGACTGACATTGAAGCTGAAACTCCAATACTTTGGCCACCTGATACAAAGAACTGACTCATTGGAAAAGGCCCTGATGCTGGGAAAGATTGAGGGCAGGAGGAGAAGGGGACAATGGAGGATGAGATGGTTAGATGGCATCACCGACTCAATGGACATGGGTTTGGGTGAACTCCAGGAGTTGGTGATGGACAGGGAGGCCTGGTGCGCTGCAGTTCATGGGGTCGTAAAGAGTCAGACACGACTGAGTGACTGAACTGAACTGAACTGATGTGATGGTGAATAATGATTCAGGCTGGAAAGTCACAGTGAGCCAAGGGGTCTCCTCACACCACATGTGCTCGTAACCATGCGCTGGGTGGCCTGGATATCAGATTACATGTGATGTGAGGCCTGTTCAAGGGTCCATGTAAATCATAAGCAAAATCAGAATGGAAATCAAAAGAAAAGAAATTCAAAATGGTAAGTAATGATGAAAATATAGTAAAATCTGTTGGCTATGTGTGAATAGAAACAAACTTGACCACTTAAATAATTCTCTAATTTCTCTAACTAATTGAAAGGTAAAACATGAAAACTTTGAATATAAGAGAATTTCTTTATACATTTAGCCTTGGAAAAGCAAATTAATACAAGATATAAAAAGGACTATCGATAATGATGGATAAATTGATCCACATTAAAAATGTGTTGGGTATGTAAGAATCAAGATAATTCTGATTACTAATGACACTATTGAGATAGTGAAAATTGTAGGCACAGGGTGGGTGAACAAAGGAAGAGTTTTATCTGGGAGATATATGTTTGTATATATACATTCATAAATCTTTTCTATGCTAACCTCTAGATCACAGAGAAGTGAACAATTTTGAAAATCTACATGGAATTACAAATCCCTAGAAAATATAACTTAAGGAACATACTTAGGAAGTTTGAATTTTCCTATAAACATTACATGAATTGATTCCGTTTGCAAAAATAGTCCATCAAGGACAGCCACAGGCTCACAAGAATTCTCTGGATATCTTTGAAAACAATTTAAAGAATGGTATACAATTTCTGCTGGCAAGTATATCCTACCCATTTCCCTTATGAGACTAGCAAAACCTAGAAGACAAACCCAGTGATGACAATATGGGAGGAGAACTTTACGGGTTAATGTTATTCCTGTATTGATGCAATCCAATCAGTCCATAAGCAAAAGTATTAGATCATTTCTAATTTGGGTTTTTCTGAGGATGAGCAGCTTTCATTCAAAACACAACTACCATAACACAACACATTGACTGATGAAAGAAGAAACACCATTTGATAATTCAACTGAAGCGGGGGAAAGCATTTATAAAACTCACTATCCTTCATTTAAAAAAATTATTTACAAAATAGGAGCAGAAAAAAGGGTCTTCATTCTGATAAATGATCGCTACAAAAACCCCACACCTGACAAATGATCGCTACAAAAATCCCACACCAATCAATTATACTTAAATGATGAAATGTCGGATATTTTTCATTCGAGAGCAAAACAATACAAGGTCACCCAAATAGCCATAATCATCATTTCTCTTCAATAATATACTAGAGATTTTAGCCACTATAGTTAAGCCGGCAGTAGAAGTAAAAGGTATAAGAGAGGGAAAGAGGAAATAAAACTGTGAATATTCAAGATATAATATACAACAAGAATAGCCAGGAACCTGCAGATCAATTATTACAATTAGTAATTGTCAAATTTTCTGGTCAGAAAATCTACTCAAACATTAATCATCTCTCTATCTATACAATAATAGTTAGAAAATGAAATTTCATTTTAAATGAAATTTAGTTAGAAATGAAAAAAAACATTAAAATCATGGAAACGGTGAAATAACTAAGTATGAATCATAAAGATATTGCACGTTCCTGTTTGGAAAAGACAATATTTTTAAGGTATTCATTCTCCAAAAAGTGATCTACAGATTCATTGCACTCAGGAAGTATTTCACAGAACTTTATTGGTTCTAATTAGACGTGGAAAACCAGTAGCCAACATTGGAGAAGACAGGCTTAAATGTTGAGAGTATGATGGGAGCTCTTGCTTTAGCAAATGAAGTCATAGTAATGAAGATAGTGTGGTACTGACGGCACCATAGAGACAGCGATGACAAGATAGAGACCCCGCACACACTGAGACATTCTACACAAATATAGAGCACTTGGTTCATGATGGAGTTCTATGCAGAGAGTGGTGGGAAACTATTTTCTTCCTCCTAAGTAAGTGGCGCTTAGGAAAACACATGTCTCCATGGTGTCTGTGGGGACACGTCTTTCTCCATGGAGAAAAGCACTTGGCCCTGCGGCACCCTCTCCTGCTCCTTGAAGCTGTGGCCCCAGGTGGCGCTGACTGAGCTGCAGAGAGCGGGGCAGGGGCGTGCGGAGCGTGGGGGCACAGGAGACGCGGCCCAGGAGCCGGGACGGGCGGCGACCTCAGGGCAGGGCTGCAGCTGAGGGGACACGGGGTGACAGACAGCCCTGGGGGCGTGACGCTGTGCCTTGTGCTTTTCAATGACATGAGTGCAGGGCTTCTGGGAGCTTTCTCAGGAATAGTGTGAAATTAATGTGAGTTTGCACGAGGAACTTATAGAGGTGAGTTTTCTAAAATCCTCATGTCCTAGGGTATAACGCATGCAGGATCTCAGAAAATGTTCTTTGGCCGCACAAGTTGCCTCCCGTTAGCTTTTGGCTGAGGTTGTTGGGGATAGTGCTATTGGGATATCAGGTCACGGGGTGGGTGGAGGGCTCTGCCACAGACAGTGGCGGACCAAGGGCCTGAGAGGCGGGGGAGGTGGGGCAGAAAGTGAGCTGCTCGGGGCCTGGGAAAGAGCCAAGACACCTGCAGAGCTCTGGGTGCTGTCATCTAGCACCTTCAATCAATCGCACACCTGCCTCCTATCCTGGACAGGAGTGAGGAGTGGAAGGCACTGGTGCATAAGCTGGGTCCACTGACAACTCCCATACTGTGGTTGGTTTGTCTGAGTTGCTTTCCTGGCTGGTGTGAGGGATTGTACTTACTTGTGTTTTGTAGCTTCACATCCTCTACCAAATGCACAACTCATTTTTCTGGTGGTGAGAGAGAGGCTGAGACCCATGAAAGATCTTAGTGACAATCTTCCTGCTTGCCAGCCACCTCTCCTTGCTGAGCATCTGTGTGGCATCAAACTTGTGTTCTTCGTTGGGATGGGACCTGGTTCAGATTCTGGAGGGGTGCAGAAGGGTCAGGACTGTGGGAGGCTTAGTGAGATGGGCTACACCATCAGGAATGGGCAGTCACTCACCAGTCCCTGCCCAGGAAGCAGAAAGGCCATCAGTAGCAGGAGTGGCTGCCTCTTCCCAAAGGTCTTTCCAGGTCACAGCTGCTGGGGTTTCTTCCTTCCAGACAAAAGCACAGGGGAAGGAAGGAGGGGAGGCTCAGTGTCTCCACAAACCTTGAGAGCTGTGCTCCCTCCTGGCCGGGTGTCAACATGCCACAGATGACCACCTTCTCTGCCCTGGATTAGGAGTGAATGACACCGTCACCCCACTCGCACACAAAGACTCAGCAGAAGGAATAAGAAAGTGACGCCTGTGGTGCAGCCAGTGTTACCTAGTGCAAGCTTGTACTACTTGCTAAGCAACAGGCCAATAAATCCTGAGATGAGTTGCTGAAACAAGGAATAGCAACTTTATTCAGAAAGCTAGCAAACCAAGAAGATGGTGGACTCATGTTTCAGAGAATCATGTATCCTGAGTTGGAATTTAGGCTACTTTTATAGTAGAAGGGAGCGGAATAAAGTTAAACATTTCCTGATTCCAGTCAGCCTCAGGACGGTTGTGTTAATTTCTTCTGTCCTGCTTTCTTTCTTCAGTGGGCTTGTTTCCTTTGAGCTAAACAAAGGTATTTTAGCTTAAAGTTCATTACCTGGGAGCCAGTGTTCCCAAAGGTGTGTTATCATGTATAATTAATTTTATAGGCAATATACCACTAGTGACTAACGAACAGAATACCAAAGTTCTTCCCTATCACACCAAGAGGAGCTAGATCCCCAGGAGCCCCTCAATAACTGAATCTCCATTTCTCCACTCTTGGTAATTTTATGATTCTGATAATATCATGAATAATTACTCAGTAAGGGAGGTCCAGGGATATGAGAGATTCGGCTGCTGTCCCTGTGAAGCTGACAGGAGGCAGAGGAAGGCCTAGAATAGGTGGCTAGAGAACAAGTGGTGAGGCCTATGATGAGGGGTCTGCTTGTTGCCAAGGGTGAGGAAGTGGCTGAACTTGGTTTGGGAGCAGATAGACCTGAACTCACCAAAGTGAACCAAACAGCAACCCCATTTCCTATCTTGCCAGGGTTCCAGCCTCACATTGTTGTTGTGTTTACAATCAGCTCTTCAAATGTAAATATTTATGACAGAAATTTTCTTATCCCACAATGTTGAACTAAAGTCTCTGACTTCATACTCATTGGAACAAAACCACCATCACCAGGTCCTTCAGCATTCAGTGACCTGACTGGCGTCTGTGCTGAGGTATCCAGCACCCCTTGAGCTGAGTTGGGGGCTGCCCCATCCAACTCAGGGTTCCTATGAGGGGGAGGGCCTTCCTCTCCAAAAATCTGGTTAGTGGTATGTGGTGATGAGATAAGTGATGCTGATCATCCTAATAATTACTCTCCACTAATATTCTCTGTCCAGAGTTCAGAGAACCACGTCACTGATGTCTCTGGGCCAGGCCATCCTGAACATGTGCAGATGATTCCAACACTGTCACCAGTATGAGAAAGAAGAAAGAGGAATGGTAAAGGTCACATTAGGAGTTCTAAACAAGCCAATCCCCAGTGAGTTCTGGCAAGAGCATCTTATGAATAAACAAAACAGAAGGACACAGGCTTAACCATTGATGATGATGATCTGCGGGTGGTGAAATTGTAGTCAATTTTAAATTTCTTACTTATATGTCCTGTATTTAGCTATCTTCATATGATTATATGTGTTGCTTTTACATGCAAAATATATTTTGCCATGGTCGAATTTCACTCACCATGCAAACTTCCAGCAAACCACTTCTCTTTAGCCCAGTCATCTCTAAGCTGCATGTTTTAAAAATGAAATTACTTTCCTGAATAGATTCTTACATGAAATTCAGAGATTATTGAAAATAGAAGAGAAAAAATTATTCAATAAGCTATTAGGTATGGAACACCTTTGAAATATTAGGATACCTTGAATCAAAAAATTTTTAATGATGACTTTCCTTTAGAGATAAATATACACTCATGCACAAATGATGGAGGTGGGAGAGGCTGGCTCAGCCCAAGGTGGAAGAGCTCCCTCAAGGTCATTTGGGGCTGAAGGAGGATGTGCCCTCAGGACACCAGAGGCTGCACAGAACCCTGGGCCCAGGACTCCAAGACAGGGCTGTGACAGGCACTCAAGCAGGCCCTAGGCATACTGAAGCCCTCCTGAAACTTTCTCAGGCTTCTGATCTCTGTCTCCTCTGATGCAGGGAGGGAACACTCATGGGGTGAGCCATATCTTTGGAAACCTCCCCCACTTCTGTTAGGGTGGACAAGTGCCCCCTCAACCCCAGAGCTTCTCAGGTGGGCCCCTTCCCAAATCTGGATTCTCTTCTGTTGCCCCCTGGGCACTGGGATGTGGGGGAGGGGAGTCGGTGTGGACGAGGAGGAGGGCGTACGGATGAGACACGAGGGTCAGAATCAAGAGGGACCTATACTCCTGAGGAGGGGTCTCCCTTCTCTGCTGGAGCTCACGGGCAGCCTGGAGGGGAGCTGGCCCTGGGGACACGTGACTGAGGGATCTGGCTGTCAGTACAGCAGGTGTTTTTATTCCAGAGATGGAAGGTGGGGCTGGGAGGCACGGTGTATGGGCTGGGGTGTGGGGCAGCTGCTGACAGATCAGAAGTGGGAAGAGATGTTTCCCTGACATAGTAGGTACCTAACGACTATGTGAATAAAGGAGGAATCAGTGATTTCTGCTCAAGAGATGAAAGTTTATTAAGTTCCACACAGCCTTCCTCCACACACTTTGACCAATGCCTCCAATCCCAGGAAAGATGGAGGGTCCATCCTGGGGGCATTTCAGTCTGATCCCTGCTGTTTGTACTGTCTCATTGTTTTTTGGATCCATGTCAGAAAGCTGGAGATTCTGGTGTAGACATCTGGAGGTGTACCATGCACGTCTCCATAGGACACAATGCCCTGGGCCACACCATCACACACGAGCGGGCCCCCGGAGTCACCCTGCAGGCAGAGAGAGCAAGGGCTGAGCCCCGCTTCTTCAGGTCTAGTCTCCCTCCCACCCTGGGGTGGGTGGTTTCTGTTAGGGGTCCTGGCTAACATCAGGGTCCTGTTGGTCCTGAGGTTTCATCCTAGCATTGACAATCCTGCTGCTCCACCTGCAGGAAGCCCCTGCCCATTTGTGACTGTGGAGCAGTGCTCACCCCCCAGGGACACAGGACAGAGACCAGATAGGAGGACAGGCTGGGGACACAGGGACAGGGTTCGTTCCCACAGCCCCCCCATCCTCACAGCTCATTTGGGCCCAGGGTTTTACCCGGATAACACTGGGGATCTCACCAAGAAAGAACTCTTCCTCTTGTTTGGATCTCCAGCACATATTTGCATGATGGGGATGTAGTCTTTGAAGTGAGCAATGCATTTCTCGTCCTTTTGGACTTCAAGATCTACCTCCTGTAGTTTGTCTGCAGGGGGTATATTTACATCCAGTCGCCCCCAGCCGGCAACACTGCACATCATCCCTGGCTTTGGCTTCTCGAAGCTCCTGGGCAGACTGATGGGGCTCACTGCATCCGTCATGTCAGCCTTCCAAGCCAGCTGAAGGTAGAAGAAAAGCATTCTCGCCTACTGATGGCCCGCAGAGGCTGCAGGACAGTCATGGGGTTGCCTCCTCACAGCCCTGGGACCACGGAGGGTGGCACAGGAGGAGGGTCATGAATGAGGTCATGGGGGATGCAGGGCCCTGGATGGAAGTGTCCCGGAGTCAGTGCAGCCACGGGTCCCACCTGCAGTAACATGATGTCGTTTTCAAAAGTTTTATCATTATAGTGTGGGTGCGGGAAGGCTCTCCTCACGGGGATGAACTGCTGGGTCTGCTCTCGTTCCATGATGTTGTGGGACCCCAGGGTGACATCAATTGAGCTGCACAGAGAGCAGAGGGGGGTGGGGTGTCACAGGAGAAATGACCCAGGAGCCAGGGGGAAAGAGCTCAGCTTGGGACAGGGCAAAACTTGGGGCGAGGCAGGGGGAGGGTGTGGCGAAATATGAGGTGATGGGCTCTGGGGCTGAGCATCTCTAAACTGCTCCCTGGCAGCCTGGGCGGGGTGGCAGTTCCTGGAGTCCACGGAGGGTGTTCAGTCCTGCACAAGCTTGACTGTCTCGAAGGAAAACAGGAATTTTTCACATTTGCACTGTGGGCTCCAGGCAACAACCTTGGCTTCCTTATGTTCCAGGTTTGATTGTCCCTTCCCTCCATGCGCGACTGGCCTTGACCTGTCCCTCTCTCCCCAGTGCTCCCCTGTCCTCTGAATAGCTTCCTGTGTTACCTGGGTGCACAGGTCTACAGCTCTAAGAGGGTTCCCTGGGAGGCTCAACAGAGGCATGGAGGCCCAGGCCCTGCTCCTCACCTTCCCAGGCAGTGAGCTGCTGTCAGCACGAAGTCCTCACGCACAAGGAAACCCCCACATATGTGAGGTTTCCCTGAAATCTTGAACCGAAGAAATGCCATGTAGGGACGGGAGTGTGGCTTGGCCTCATGGCCCCCGATGATCTTCCCTGAAAGAAAGATTCCAGCCTGCCCGCTGTGCTCAAGGAGCCAAAGTTTGAAGAGGGGAGATGGGATCATGGTTTTCCTGAGTTCAGAAATTTTCTTAGATGGACCAGGCCCAGGCTGTGCATGAGTGTAGCATCGGAGCAGGTCTGTCCATGTGGGGTGGGTCTGGGCCTCTGAGAGTGGGACCATCACTCACCTGCCTCCCCAGTAGGGGACAGAAGAAGGGCCACCAGGAGCAAGAACAGGACCATCTCTCCAGGAAGACTGCCCAGCTCTGAGCAGCTGCTGCTTCCTTCTGGTCTTTAAACCCTGAGTTGTCCCCTCCCATACTCTGGCCTTTATCATGTGAGCCTTCACTGAAAGCCTCAAACCACATTTTTGGAGTCAGGGTGGACTGTGAATTTGAATTTAATTAAAGCGTCTGCTAAGTTTTCATCTATTGGGTGGGGCGGGGGTCGGGTGGGGGGTGGTTGCATCAGCCAGTCCTTAAGCCCTCAGGTGCCTGAGCCCCAGAAACCTAGGCCTCATGATGATAGATCAAAGAAAGTCTTTGTGTGGTTCGTTTTAGATCACCAGGGTGATTGTGCATTGAGACCCCTTCTTCAGCAAGAATGTGAGAAATATTGGAGGTGAGATTCCTTGCTTCATGCAGAGGAGATAAACCATCATGATCAAACTATAAAGGCAAGATCCATGGTATGGAATAGACATAATGGTGTGAAAGTGATGCTGAAAAGAGCTTATACCACTGACTAAAGGACTCAGTGGTTTAAAATAACAGCAACATTGCTTTACCTGTCTGTATTTTGGTCCGGGTACAGTGTGGATGGCATACCTCTACTCACCTTGGCTTCAAGGTTGCTCAAAGCCTGGAGGCTGACTCACTTGCAGGATTGCTCACACATGCCCAATGGTTGGTGCTTGCTATCCACTCGGCAGGTTGGTTTTTCTCCATAAGAGCCCCTCAAGTAGTCTCACCTCATGGGATTCTATGGCTCCTCATAACACATCGATTGGTTTCCCCCAGAGTGAGCATCTCCTAAAAACTGAGCCATCTAGAAGCTGTGCTTTTTCATTACCTAGATTTTGATGTCATATAGCACCTATTCTACTATATTCCACTGCTTAAAGCAATCAAGAGCTCCCCTCACCCAGCTTAAAAAAGGAGGGCCCTAGACCTACTTTGTTGCAGTCACATAAGAAGAGCCTGTGGGATGGAGACACACAACGGCAGTCGTGTCCCCATCATGAAAGTGGGGGAAGTCATGGAATCAAAAAAATTGTTGTTTCTAAACATCTTGATCCCAAGCCTCTTAAAAAGCAACAACACCTTAGTTAAAGAAACAAAGCCCATGGTCAATAGTGATGCTGGCAAGAGAGTCACAGTGAACCAAGGGGTGTCCTCATCCCACATGGGCGTGGACACCCCGCACTGGACGACCTGGATGAGATATCAGAATACAAGTGAGGTGAGGAATGTTGCCTTCCATAGGGAATGCAGAAGGGCATGGCAACCCACTCCAGTATTCCTGCCTGGAGAATCCCATGGACAGGGGAGCCTGGCGGGCTACAGTGCATGGGGTCACAGAGACTCAGACACAACTGAGCGACTGTTAGTACTGCTACTACGTAGGGAGTGACCATCCAAGGGCTGTGAGGAGGGTGTTCACACAAGGGTTGACCAGTAGGTGGTAAAGGAGCTCAAGGAGGATTCAGGGACTCCGACAGAAAAGGGCAGGCTGGTGGGATGTGTCAGAGCAGGACAAATAGGGCGAGGTGGGCTTTGCTTTGAAGTGGCTGCCTGACATGGATCACCAGGGCCTGGGTGGGGAGAGCAGGGGATGCACTTGGAGAAGATGAGTAAGAGAAGTGTTTTATAGATCTCTGTGGGGACTAATCAAATAATTAAACATATAAAGGCAAGGGACCCAGATTATTACTCTTTGAAGATTAGATGGTATTAGTGGCATCAATGTTAATTTCCTGGATTTAATGGTTGAATTGTGGTCACATAAGCGTTTCCTTGTCTGTAGAAACTGCAATCTGAAGTTTTTGAGAACTGATGGAACACCATGTCAGTAACTTTTAGATGGTTCAGGAAAATAAAAGCTTTTTCTACTATAATTGCTACTTTTCCATAAGCCTGAGATTACTTCAAAAGTAAAAGGATTCCCAAAAAATATAAAAACAGACTTTACAAATAGAAAGACAGTCTTAGTTCTATAATGGGTTAGAACCACACCAAAAAGGCAATGATTCTCCTGAAGTTAATATAATGTGATTCCGATTAAAAAAATTTTTTTTCTCCTAGTGTTAGGAAGTTCTAGCTAATGTCTAAAATTTATTTAGAAAATAGCTTGAAGGAATACTAGTCAGATATTTAAAAGCATCCTGTAAGATGTATTTTCTGAAAACAGTGTGTTGCCCACTCATTATTAGACAGACAGACCAAAGAAAAAGAGTAGAAAATCCAGAAACATTCCCAAGCACATATGAAAATGTCGTTTACACTAAGGTGACATTTTTTTTAAAAATCGCTGGGGAAAAGTAATACTTTTTAATAAATGATACTGGAACAATAAGTTAGTCATACATCACATAAACCAACTGAGTAAGTGCAAAATATGAGAGACAAATATATAAAATAAAGCCATAGTAATAAATAAATGTAGATAAATCCCTTCATAAAATTAGAGGTCTAGCAATGACTCTGAATACAGAAACATTAAAAGAAGAGATTGATAAATAAATTATGATATGTGAAATATAGTTTTTAAAGTTTATATCTCAAAAATCAGGCATAAGCAAAACCAAAATACAGACAATAACTTGGTAAAAAATTATTGCAACATATATCACAATCAAAGAGTTGATCTATATAAAAACAAAGAGTTAGAAAATCTAAAGAAAAACCAAGCAGAACTGAACAGTACAATAACTGAAATTTAAAATGCACTAGAAGGAATCAATAGTAGAGTAGATGATACAGTGGAGTGGATCAGCAAAATAGAAGAGAGAGCAGCAGAAATCACTCAACCTGAACAGACAAAAAAGAGAGAGAAAGAGAAAGAATGTTTCTAGTGAGGACAGTTTAAGAGAACTCTGAGATAATAGCAAGGATGCTGATATTCAGAGTATAGGAGTCCCAGAAGGAAAAGAGAGAAGAAAAGGGTTAAAGAACATATTTAAAGACATAATAGCTGAAAACTTCCCTAACACAGGAAAAGAAAGAAATGCCCAGGTCCAGGAAACACAGACAGTCCCAAACAGGATAAACACAAAGGTGACCACACTAAGACACTGTAATTGAAATGGCAAAAATTAAATATTAATTTTACATTAACATGCACATTAAAATCAGTAAAGGAAAAGCAAAAAGTTATGTTTAGGGGAACAACCAGCTACCAGCAGATTTTTCAACAGAAAATTAGCAAGCCAGAAGGGAGTGGCATGATATATTTCTAATGATGAAAGGAAAAAAAATCTTATAACCAGGAGTGCTCCACTAGGCAGGCTATATTTGAAGGAGAAAGCTAAAGTTTTACAACAAGCAAAAGCTAAGAGTTCAGCAACACAAAGACAGTCTTATAAAAATTTTATATGGTCTTCCCTAAATGAAAAACAAAAGACCACAACTAGAAGTATGAAGGAAAAATGAAGGTATATGTGTCTGGGAGAGAGTGAAGGACAGGGAAGCCTGGCATGCTGTAGCCCGTGAGGTCACAGAGCTGGCCATGACGGAGCAACTGAACAGCAACCTTCAGGGTAGCTGTCAACCACTTATAAAGCTAGTAGGAAAGTCAACGATGAAAGTAGTAAACTCATCTATATCCACAATAGGCAGTTAATGAATATTTGAAATAAAAAGCCATGAAATACAATGTCAAAAAAATGAACAATGAGAGGATAAAAACACAGAGTTGTAAGGATGTGTTAAACTTAAGAGGCCAGCAATTGAAAATAATTACAGTTATGGAATACTGATGTATATATATTGATATATACATGAGCCTGATGGTAATCACACACCAAAAATCTATACTAGATACACACACAGAAAAAAAGAGAAAAGAATCCAAGTGTAACACTAAGGATAGTCATCAAATCACAAGGGAAGAGAGCAAAAGAAGAAACAAAAAAAGAAGCACAAAAACAACTGGAAAACAATGAACAAAATGGCAAAAAGTACCTACTGATCAATAACTACCTTAAATATAAATGGACTAAATGAGCCAATTAAAAGACATGGAATACCTAAATGGATACAGAAACAAGATTCATACCTATGCTGCCTACAAGAGACTCACTTCAGATCTAAAGATACACACAGACTGAAAATAAGGGGATAGAAAAAGTATTCCAAGCAAATGGAAACAAAATTAAAGCCAGGCTGGCAATACTTGTATCAGACAAAATAGTTTTAAAACAAAGACTGTGACAAGAGACATATAAGGACATTACATAATGATCAAGGGATCAATTCAAGTAGAAGACATATCAATTTTAGATATACACACAACCAACATAGGAGCACCTAAAAATACAAATATTAACAAGCATAAAGGGAGAAATTGACAGTAATGCAGTAAAAATATGAGACTTTAACATCCCAACTACGTCAATGGACAGATCATTCAGATAAAAAATAAATAAGAAAACAAAGGCCTTAAATAACACATTAGACCAGATGGATACACACACACACACACACACACACACACATATATATACATGATATATACACACACACACACACACATATCTCTTTCTCCAGGAAGTCTGAAAGGTCCGTGACCAAGGAAGGTCATTACAAGGACAGGAATTTTATCATCTGAGAAGCATTTAGAGGAATCTTATCTCAAGTATCTCAGCTAGTGGGATTCTTTATCTGGTGTGGTGACTCAGCACTTTACTCTTAAAGGATCTTAGTGGTCTTACGTTTATTGGGCTAGTAGCCTGTCACTGACCATCACTAATAGGAACGGAAATACCAAGTTGCCAAGATGTAACACAGGGAGTCTCATCTTCCCTTGGCAATTAGGATCACCCACCTAACTTGCATAGTGAGTTTATCAGTCTGTCAATTGCTTTCCTACAAATTAAGGCCTTTAAAAATCAGAAGAGTCCAAGGTCATAGAGACAGAAGTAAAACTTCTGAGACTGAGTTAATAGGTTTAATAGTAGGAATGAGAGCCACTCCTATGGTCGCTTCTTTGTCTCTAGAACCATGTATTCTAGCTATGAGAAACAC